AAAAACCAAATCCCGTCCCCCCCCCCCCCAAAGAGGGACTGGTCCGAGCCCGAACCATCCGTGATACCTACCACGGGTTGACATCATCATGAATAAAGTGCAAATCATCCACAGCAGTCCTTCATTGTCCGAATAGGTCCTCATGGAATTCAGGAGGCAACCGAGGATGTTCTCACAGGCCAGCATCTCCACCTTCAGGTTCTTCCCCAGAGCTGCAGAGAGCAGAGAAGATAATAGGATTCAGCCGCTCTTTGCCTGCTTCAACGTTTCATGTTAACACCAGCCATATGTGTTTGTGAAATCTTTCATGACTTGCGGGCGCCGGTATTGTCCTACGGAAAACCCTTCGCCACCACGTTCTACAGATTTTCTCCGTCGGGAGGTCAGCTGTGACGGGAATGACTTACCGTCAGATCTGCTTGTCCCCGACGACTGATTTTTCCCCCGTGCCTCTTTGGCAACACAGTATGGACCCCCTTATCCACGGGATCAGTATCCGCTGATTCACTTAGCCACAGTACGCATAGATTAAAAATATTAAAAGAAAAAAAAATCCTAGAAATATGTATTTCCAAAGATGAAGTGGGCTTGAACTGGCTCCTAGAGGGAGCGAGAGACCATGCTCGGTACAGTGTTTGCTATTAAAATAGCGTTCTCTATAATCCACATATTTCGGCATCCACGGGGAGGAGAGTTTGGAACGGAACCCCCACGGATACAGGAATGTTGCTGTATGCATCAAAACTTCAAAAAGCAGTTTTTCTTTACAGAAGAGGATAGGGGGTGTCTAAGAAACCTAATGGCTTTGGGTACAATGTCTAGAAGCACCATAACCATTCAAGAAAAGAACCAACAGCAATTCTGGGGATTCAAATATAGGAGAGCTAGATTTAAAGGACTTTCCGAGCAACCCAAATGTATTGATACCAAATGGCTACTGTGAGTTTGACCAGACTCTTGTAAGATCCACAGAGCACATTTATTTGAGGAGCAGTGCTACAGGAGCAGAAAATAATGGTTCAGAACCTAACTCTGAATTGTCATCATCCTACCTCTGCCTGTGAGCTCAAGCAGGAAAGAGTATCCTGCCAACTGTACTTCCGGAGAATCCATGTGATTATTGATGGCGCAAGTCACAGGCTCCAGAAGTCCCAGGAAGGTATGTATATCCACTGTGGGGAAGAGACTGCAGCGGTTTTATTATATTTTATTCTTTTCGGGAGTCTCTGCTACTATTCTCTATCACTTGTCTTTAAACGGTAGGGTTAAGCCTGGCCATTAGGGTACAATAGCCCCTGCTTAACATAGGCTGATGAATATGGTCTTTTTATGACATCAGCCACCTTTTAAAGGAGAAAGGTGGGGTAAAAATATTTTAAGTAAATAAATAGGTGCAGAGTGGAGATCGCTCACCGTCCTTCTGGCAGATGGACCCCTTTTTGGGGTCTACTATGTTTATCGACAAAAGCCAAGAAGGGCTGTGTGTAGCTAGTCTTTGTTGTTGCTCAGTTGTCGTGTCTGACTCTTCGTGACCTCATGGACCAGCGCACGGCAGGCACTCCCGTCTTCCACTGCCTCCCGGAGTTGGGTCAAAGTCATGTTGGTCGCTTCAATGACCCTGTCCATCCATATCCTCTGTCATAGCTAAGTCTACTCTGAGCCAAATTCCTAACAGTGGATAGGAACCCAGGACGGCTAATGGCTCTGATGCCAAAAGGGACGGCAAATCTGCTCCCTGTATTGGTCCGAACTTTAAAAGGGTTACGCAAGGAGCTGGGTCTGTTGAAGGGCACTGTGTTCAGGACCCAGGACAGCTCCTTGAAACATCAGAGGGAAACTCGGCACCGATTCACCCTGGCACTGCCCTCTGAGCCAGCAGTCTCTACACCCAAGACCCTGCACCCTGGATTTAGCTAGAAGGGACTCTGATTTCTCATGACACCGGGTCCTTTTACTCCCTACGTAGATCCATGAACTCGATCGTGCTGTTTACCACTGTTGAATTGGGGGCATCGAACGGTGCGGAAAAAGACGCCCACCCGAGCCAACCTACCGTCTTCTTTTTTTAAGAGCTCCAGAAGGCGTTCGATACTTTTTTCTTGCGCTTCCTCGATCTCTTGGTAAGACATCATGAATTCTGCAGTGGAGAAAAAAAACCAGTTGGCGTGTTGATGCCAGGTCCTCTTTTACATAAAAGTAACTTCCAGGAAGCTATTGTGTTATTTCAATACTGCAATGCACACACAGAGAGAGATACACAAAGTCATGTTCTCTGGGAACGTGATGCCTGGTGGAGACCCAGTAAGATGTAAGGAAGAATCTCACAGTTACATAAATCTGGAAGACCTGATGTAGGTGTTCCTCCCGTATCCCTGTATTTCCCCAAAATAGGCGTAGGTTTCCGTTTAAAAGCTACTTGTAAGCTTTACCTAGAACTGTCTGGATGCCAGCATCAAGCACGATGTCCATTAATCCCACAGGTACATGTTTCTTCACCTTTATTAGGGGAGAGCCGGCTAGAATCAGGCAGTCTCTAACAAATGGATGATCAACTAGTTCCCTAAATAGAAGAAGCAGAGAAGGGAAGGACATCTAGGTTGGCGGAAGAAACTGTTTAAAGCACCGTGTTTAAGAGCTGGCATGCACTGGAAGGTAGGGTAGAAATACAAATAACTCAATTAAGCGGGGAGGTTTGTCTTCATGATTAAAGCTGGGACTCTCCCTACACTTTGCTATCGAAGGTGTCGGCCAACGTGACACCCAACAAACCAAACGGCTTGATTGGGG